CTTTCTTCTCCACTTTCTGCCCCACCCCCTCACCTCCTTTACCCCCTTCACTTGGCTCCTGGCTCTTTCTGCAGCCTTTCTACTGCTTCTCCTTGGCTCCTTCTTCCTGCTGTCTTTCAGCTATACCCCTGATCGGACAAAGGCGAAAAATCTTATAGGTCCCATGAGCAAGTTAAAGATCCCTTGGAGGGCCAAAATCGATAAGAATAGGCTTCGGCCGCCACGCGGGCAAAATTCAAAATGTCCTACCAAACGAAAATGTTTGGTATGTCCCGAGCGCTCATATGACCGTATGCTGTTGCTAGCGCCGTAAAACAGTTACCAAGAACTATGTGCAAACGGTTGCAAGCTTTACCCTTTCACTCTGAACAGTCAAGTGCTGCACAATCACAGCCTAAGGGGTAGGATGGAGGATTGCTGGAAGGGGAAGGGGGGGGGGGGGACCCTGGAAAATATTCCAACTCATTCTGTTGTGTGTAACATCATGTAGGGACAAGAGCCTTAACCCTTTCCGTCGCTAGGGTCATTTTGTACCCCCGGGGTTGTACCCTTCACTTTTCAGAATACTTCTAGTACAAAGACCTCTTTGAAATTTTAAGTACTTCTCAAAAAATCATTTTGACAGACTGCTATGTGAATTTCCTCTTTGGAGAGTGGTGGCACAGAGTTCCCCACGTCATATAAATACGATGGTAAAAAATGACGTACGGATAGGGTTAACACTCGACCTTGCAGAATGGTCTCCAGCTACCAGCAACACAATCACTTCCAAACTGGTAGGGAGGGATGTGGATTTGGAAGCTAGGCTCACTATACACCCTAACAACAACCGCCCGCCCCCCCCCCCAATCCAAACCTCTCCACAACATCACTGTGTTGTTGTGGGACAGAACAGCAGGAAAGGTGAGAGACTGTACAGCAAATTGACACCTGGCTGATGAGTGCATCAAATCAAACATTACACAAGAAACTTTTAGGGGTGGTGGGACGAGACACAAGCGTGCGCATACACTCACTCGCAGTCACGCCCACGTACTTGTGGTGACATGCTAGCGTGCGTTTGTGCTCCAAGAGTCAAGAACACGTACATTTTTATCTTCCATTCCCACTACAATACAGAAACAAATGAAGGACAGACTCGACTCTCTCTCTTTCTCTCTCTCTCTCACTCACAACACACACATGGGTGTCTGACACATCAACCAAGGCCAAGAATTGAGTAGGTGGGATTCTGTAGAGCTGGTGTCCCTCGTTACACCACAAGATGATGACGATGATGATAATGATGATGATGACGATGAGGGGTGACAAGTTGTCGCAATGAATGACTCAAGGACAAATTGAATAAATTAAGGCAGAAACAAAAATGTTTTTAAAAAACAACAACAAAATATCACACTCACCAGCTCACACACACACTCTCGTACATACATACATACATACATACACATGATACAAATCAACAAACAATTCTGAAGGACTTTGCGTGGAAAGTTATCTCAATTTGTACAATATTTGAGTGAAATGTACATGGATAGAATCGGCATCTTTGTACACAATCATCACTGACCGAGAGCACATGTGTGTGTGTGTGTGTGTGTCTGTGTGTGAATGTGTGCGCTGGACCTCGAAAGTGAATGGCTTTCCATGGGTCAGAACATTGTTCCAGCCACAAAAAAAAGAGATGAAATATAGAGAGCAAGCCACACGGTACGGCCACCAAGTCTACGACAAATCCTGGTGGTGCACGATCATTATGTATGTCTTATGTACACACAACTCCACACACACACACAAACACTTGTCAGTTTAAAATGTGGGGAAATATATGAACATTTCTATCAGTTTATGGGTGATGCAGCGAGACATGGGGCGAAGCAGTGTGAGCCAGATACATTCCACCTGTAGTTGAGCATCTCCAGACCAAGCGCGCTGTGTGTCAACCCTTCACGGCTGAAATGACACATCCTGTGTCACGACGCGGTGGAATCAATCAGGCACTCGTCAATTTTGGGGTACCGGTATGTGAAGTTATTGATAGTATCACCTTAATAAAGCTTGTTCATTTGCCTTGCTTTCGATGAAAGGATTACCTAATTTTCCTTGAGTACATGTCGAGATATGACAAATATGGAAAGTGACAATTTACATTTGTTATGCCTTTAATCAACATTTTCAATATAATTCACACTGAAATGGGTTCTTAAATGGACATAGAGGGAGCTAAGCTAAAAAACACAATTTCGATAAAAATTGCCAAACCAGCAGAAAAGTGCAAATTTCTTTCCTTTCACTTTCATTATTTTGACGAGCGCCCGATTGTCCCCACTCTGCCTCACACATCTATTACAGCCATTTCACTTCACCATTCATTTCATTCAGCAATTCGGTAACACAAGGAACATTTCCGTTCTGTATCTCCACTTCTGATTGTAAGATGGCCTTGACGATGTTTAAACATAAAAACAAACAGCCCCAGAAAAACTTTCAACTTTCACAGCCAGCAATATTACAGTAGTTTCCACCTAAGATAATATTAATAATAAGGAAGATCATTTCTGCAGCCCCCACTCTCGTGTGAACACAGCTCTAGACGCTTTACATAAACTATAAAGATCCCATCACTTACAATCCAAGTTAGCTTAAGATCCCAGCTGCCTTATTAAAACAAAAGTTTTTCGGCACCGCCAAGAAGATCCCCGCTCTGAAAGACTGAGTCAGAGACGGAAAGCTACACATTTTGGACAAGGTGGAGCACTGGGATAAACATAAGTTTGACTGAGACTGATAATTGGACTAGTGAATTTGGCACACCTCATGCCATTGCGATAAGTCATCAAAATTAACAACTCTCTTTCTTTGCCATGAGTCATAAAATGACCACCCAAAGGTCATGTCAGTTCATTTCAAAATAAGTGTTGACCATTTTTTAGATTGTGTAGTTCGGTCCGACGTTGTGTCCTTGGGAAAGGCACTTTACACGAACTTCCCACTTGGCTCGGTCCTATCGGAGACGGACGTTAAACTAGGAGGTCCCACACCTTAAATAACCTAATAGTGTTGATAGGGGCGTTAAACCTATACCATTTCACCGTTTTTTAAAGTTTTAGATTGTGTGCCTCGCCATGATTCCCCAAGGATTTTCCCCATGATGAATTGTCTACTCTGAAAGCTTCCTTTTTCCCCCCTTGCTCTCAAGCAATCTTAGGCGGAGACTACTGTATTATATCACGGTACTCTTACTATTCGACATTAGGCTGTGTGTTACTGTTCGACAATGTTCACGATGACGCATTCCTCCACCAAAGTCAGTAGGCTCACTGCTTCAGAACATCATGGACAATTATCACACGTTACTGTGCTGACAAAGCAGTGGTGAAACTGTTCCAACTCTTTAAGCTCCTGTTTTGAAGCTTAGCCATGCATTTTGCAATAATATGTTGGGTTGAATGACCTCCCATCCTCCCCCTACACACAAAAACACACAAACACACATACAGCAAAAAAATCACATTTTCTATGAGATTACCTGATCCCCTTACCACATTAAAAAACCATAACAACAAATATATAAGACCTGTCTGTGATTACGGACACTTCCAAAACTCTTGCCTCTCTAACTCTCAATTTTTGGTTCTTGTCTCTAATTCTATACAGCAACTTGTATCTTGCGAAACTTCCAAATATTGAGAAGGTATTTTGCAAGTGCGGGATTACAATGCTCTTGTGTATTTGCCGAGTACCTCTACATATTTTTAGTTCTAAAGACCGATAGGCACAATACCAGGAGAGTGATAATATTCTCTAAAAACAATATAACACCATCTTAACCATCTTGTTACAAGTACTCTTAATTATGACCTTAGAGCATGCATCAGAATAACGTTTTCTTACAGTAAGAATACTGTGTATGTATGTATCGAGTTTAAGATTATTATTGTTTATATTACTGTTCATTTATAGTATGCATGTGGCTGTAAGCCTTCGTGTGTGTGCATGTTTGTGTGTGTGTGTTTGTGTGTGTGTGTACGTGGAGAAAAAACACCAAACCAATGTGCCAGGATCTGGACAATAAAGATATATCTCATCTTACTGATCTATCTTATTATAAGCAAAGAGGTTGATGATAACCTTGAGCAACAGTGTCAAGCTCTCAGGACACCACTCAGCTCAACACTTTCGATGAAGGCAGGCTAATCTCATGTTATGCCATCACAATGTGGAAAAAGCTGTGCACATTGACAAAAACCTAGCTCAGAGAGTACAGAGTGAGAGCAGCACAGTCCTCCTACGTCTTGTGACAGATTCACTGACACTGGGCAGTGCTCGCTTATAGGAATAAAGAGCAAGTTTGTATAAGTGTTACAGAAATAAAGAGCACATTTGTATAAGTGGATTAGTCTCTCAAGTAACAAAATCCAAAAAAGCATGAAGACAGAAGAGCACTGAGTCATGAAATTTCAACCAAAAACCAACAAAAGATTTATCAAATACTGTCAAAAAATCTTCTGAACAATACATGTGTCACAGCGCGGTGGAATCAGGTGCTCGTCAATTTTGGGGCATATGGAGTTATTGGTATCATCTTAAAGCCTGTCCATTTGCCTTGCTTTTGATGAAAAAAGATATCCATAGATCCTGAATACAAGTCAAGATATTGGTCATTGTAGGAGGTGGGGTCGCCTGATTTTAGAGGTAAGATTAGCGAGAAAATTGCTACGAAAGTCGAGTTATTTCCTTAGCTAAAGAGTCTGTGAAAACTGAAAATTGACATCTTTTATGCCTTTAATCAACCTATTTCAGTCAAATCCACATAGAAATGTGTTTTTCAAAGCGCCAAAAAACAAAAATTTGATAAAAATGTCCAAACCAGCTGAAAAATGACGTTTTCTTGACTTTCATTATTTTGACGAACGCCTGATTTCACCACTCTGCCTCACACATTGTACCGTTTGTTAACAGAGAAATTTCACCACAAACCTAATTATAGAATAAGAACAATCTAGTGGATTCACTTTATTCAGCACTGTCTATAATTAATCATAGTCCCTATGACACAGCTAGAGAAAAAGTGCACGAGTCCTCATTATTCCAAACCCATTTTTTGATCAATTTCACCAAAACCACCTCTCATGCTCACTTATGTTAGTTCTCAGGTCATCAAATACTGACCTAGATATATATAAATCCTAGTGCTAGAAGTATATATAATATACAGCCTGAACCTTTTTCATAGAAAAGGAAAAAACAAATATCTTTTCACCCAGTGAATCAGGAGGACTTGGACTTGTAATCTTTCAAAAAGAAAAGTAAATGGTTGTATCAAAACACACATATGTTTGACTGTAAAACCTTTTCAAACTACTAAAATGAAATTGGTGTTAAGGTAAGCATAAAAAAAGGATTTTTTTTTCATAAACCAAACTTGAGAAAAATGTTCTAAAAATACTTAAATTAACTAACCACAGCCATTTTGATCACAGACCTACAAACAAATCTACAGTTAGTAAAACAAAAACAACGACTGCGGCTACAGATGGTGGCAAATGCCGTGAGAGGTGTCCCGCGAGGCTTCTGTTCTGACCAGACACCCTCGTTGGGCCGCGGGCAGGGACACACTCATTTATGTGCCTTAGTCTACAGAGCCAAAAGATTATCCTTTGTAGTCCAGGGAAAAAAACAAACTTTCAGACCCCAACTCAGATTTGACCCTTGACACTTACAGTACCGCAGGCTCATAGAGTGAAAAACCCTCAAGTACAGCACCAGTTTAAAACGCTAATGCATAGATAGAATTATTTTTAATTTAAAAAACCTTGGCAGCCCAAGAAACACGTTTTAAAAATTCATAGAGGTTCATCAACCATTCGGCTATAATATAGAGTGACTTCCTTTAGTACTCAGTTCAGTGCAGTGTGTCCATTCATTGTGTAATTATGTTTAGTGTGCCTGGTTGCGTTGATGACTAAAGTCGCCAGCGGTAGTGAGCACATTCTATGGCATGACAGTGCTGTAAGTGTTAAAACTCGCACAAGTCGAACATATCTGGACCTTAGATATATTCAAATGGACCAAGCCAGAAGGTCTCAAGCATATATGAGTCGTATATATGTCTTTTAAGTTAGCTCTTCTAACTGCTCTCTGGATTTTGAAAACATGCCAACTTGAGTCATTCTGCTTTCACTTTCACATTTAATCATTGAACTCGGATCACGAAAGTAACTCTCCTCTGACAGAAATCAATATTTATTCAGGACAGATTCCCTGCGAGAAGTCGGTACACACACTGACCTTTTTAAGACCATCCACCTGACATAAAAGTTCATTTTTATCCAGGGTGCTACCTCTACAATTAAGGGAAATACAGAAAAATGCGTACCCAGCAAATGTGCGTGTGCAATCATGGACAAACTCAAGGAGAAAAATAGCAACGATAATTCCTTTCTTGTATGGGGCCCTAGGTCTGGTGTTTTGGAATTTGAAAATAATGAGGTTTGACTGCATTTGATTTTTCACAAAATTCATATTTACTCCTTTTCATGTCTACCAAAAATCTGTGATAAGCCGTGCCTGAGTAATGCCAGATACTTGATGCCACACATCCACGGTGCAGCATGTAAACCCTGCAGGAATAGAGAGCGTGAAAAGACAACTGGTGGTGAAGCACCAGGGGCGCAAGTGACAGTACGCTGCTAGCTAATATCAGTCCAAGAGTAGAGGTGAAAATATACTGCTTGCTAACATTGGTTTGTCATCTTCACATATTCAGTGTCACATGTACCCATTATTCTAAGAGATCAAGATCTCGGTGCGATTAGGAAAAACAACAACCCAAAAACAACATGACAATCAACAGACCCAGCCAAAACACCAAACAAAAATAAAACAACAAAACCTGGGCACACATTCAACTCCCTGTTACAAACAAAGCCAAATCAGTAGCAACATATTATTAAAAAAACAACGAAAAAACCCCTTTAAAAACCACCCCAATCTCATTGCGTCATTAAAGTAATTGATCTGTTGGTATCTGAGACACACAAGACATACATGCAGGCTGGCACACCATCGCAAACATCATTTGGATTCATCTCATGAACCTCTTCCCTGCATTCCTTATATCAGAGGGGGAGGAGGGGCCCACCACCTACTCCTGGAATCGCCCCGCCCCGCCCTGACCACGTGTGAGCATAGCTCAAAACAACCCTCGGTGAGAGATCATCCATCAACAGCCACTACTGCAGCACTCAATGCCCGCATGCATTCCATAAGTCAACGGCCAGCCTCCACCCTGCCCCCAACTCCAGGCTCGCTCTGCTGCTCCATCCAGCCGTGGCCCTTCCCCTTGCTCCTCTCCTCCACTCGCCTTCATTTGTCACCTGACAATGGGCAGCGGTCAGTGCAAATAGTCCAGGGCGCTGAAGTATGACGGGTTAGCAACGGACTGCTCAAAGTGTCAGATGTTCCCCCCGGAGAACAGAAACTTTGTGTTGAACTGGCTGTTGATGGGGGTTTTGGGCGAGGCACACATGTACTTAAAGTCTAAGTCAAACGAGTCCGTCCGATGAATAGTGGGCTCCGATTTACTGCGCTTGATTTTGGGTATGGACATATACAGAGCTTCCAGTGAGGCCAGAATCTAGGGAAAGGATAAAAAAAAGAGGTATCAAATGAAGTAACCGCGGGGGTTACATTTATATAAATCCAACATTGTGAACAGAAAAACCTCTCTTCCCTCACTTTGAGAAGAAAAAAGATAGCTGAGGGATGCCACTCAACTTTTTTTTAAATAGTTGAAAATCCACGCACCACAGTCTCGCTAACATATGAATATCAATTTGATCCCGGCGGCCCGGCGAGAGTTTTTCCAACTTGCTGAGGTTAGCGCAAATCTTCCGCGGGTTTTTTCTCCGTTATTTGAACTTATGGCGAAGTCTTCTTTTTTCCGTTATTTGAACATTTGGCGCAAGCAGTGTGAGTGGGGTTGTTGTTCTTTTTTCAAGTATACGTTCTATCTCGATCTCAATAACGCAATAGCGGATCAGGACCAAAATACTGGAAAAAAGTGGAAAAGTGACATCCCTGATAGCTGCATTGAAAATGTGCAAGGCAAAATCCTATGAAAAACAGAAATAACATACGAAATTCATTACTACAAACTTCCAACAAAACATTTTTTCCTAAATATTCAATCATCACATTTGAAAGGACATTTTTAGAAATGAAATCTAAAATTCACTGTTAAACTTAACTTATACGAGGATGTTTTTTTTTTCAGTAAGAACATTCACGAGTCACAACATGGTGGAATCAGGCGCTCGTCAATTTCTGGGCATATAAAGTTATTTGTATCATGTCTCATCTTAAAGCTTGTTTATTTGTTTTGCTTTCGTTGAGAACATTACCCATCTATCTTGAACAGAAGTCGAGATATTTGCAATTGAAGGAGGTGGGGGTCGCCTGGTTTTAGAGGTCAAACTATCGAGAAAATGGCCGCCAACGTTTGGTAACTTCCAAAGCTTGAGAGTTCTTGGAATCTACAAATCTACTTTTTTGTGCCTTTGATCAAAGTTTTTCAGTAAATTCCAGACATGAATTTGTTTTTAAATGGACTTTAAAGGTGTTGAGTCAAAAAAAAAAAGAATTCTTTATTTAAATTGCCCAAATGGCCATAAAAATGCAGGTTTCCTTGATTTCAATATTTTGACGAGCACCTGATTTCACCACGATGCCTCAAATATTATCATTATGAGCTGTCGCGTTTTGTTTCCCTTTCCCCAACTTTCACAAGGAGCACATGAAGGTTTGAGATTACATAAGACACAAGGAAGGGAAGACCAACCTGAGGAAATAGCGGCCGCCCGTCTCTGTTCAAGTCCACACAGTCTTGCATGATTCTCTTCAGTTGTTTCGGAGTGTCTGAGCGACACCACGCCAGGTCAGGTCGCAGATAGCCTTTGCCCACCATGAAAAGAATCTGCAGGAAAAACAAAACAAAAACCCAAAGTATGAGCGTTTCACAAAACACTGAGCATCATCACAATAACAAAAAGCTTGAAACTGCAGAGGAAAAACAAACAATTGTTGTTGTTGGTGGTGATGTTATTGTTGTTGTTGTTGGTTGTGGTGGTGGTGGCGGTGTTGTTTCTGAGGTGGTGGTGGTGATGGTGGTGTTTCTGAGGTGGTGGTGGTGGTGTTGTTTCTGAGGTGGTGGTGGTGGCGGTGTTGTTTCTGAGGTGGTGGTGGTGGTGTTGTTTCTGAGGTGGTGGTGGTGGTGGTGTTGTTTCTGAGGTGGTGGTGGTGGCGGTGTTGTTTCTGAGGTGGTGGTGGTGGTGTTGTTTCTGAGGTGGTGGTGGTGGTGTTGTTTCTGAGGTGGTGGTGGTGGTGGTGTTGTTTCTGAGGTGGTGGTGGTGGTGTTGTTTCTGAGGTGGTGGTGGTGGTGGTGTTGTTTCTGAGGTGGTGGTGGTGTTGTTGTTTCTGAGGTGGTGGTGGTGTTGTTTCTGAGGTGGTGCTGGTGGCGTTGTTTCTGAGGTGGTGCTGGTGGTGTTTCTGGCACAAAATGTGCATGATTTTTTATTAGCACAAACACAATAGAGTACAACTTCTGTAAGTCATATTATAGTTTTAGTAAGGTTTTACGGCCCTCGCTACTGCATACGGTCATATGAGAGCCAAGGGGTGGATGTCAACAGAGAAGTCTAAACGGGGAATCAGGCTTACTTTGCTCACCTCTCTAGCCTCAACAGCACAAAGGTTGCTTCGACTATCAAGGCACCCCGGATATGGAAGTTCATAATAGAGTGACAAACATACATACCTTGTTTCAGTTTTAGTACGAGTTTTACGCCACTTGCAACACAATAAAGTCATATGAGTGCCGAAGATTAGAGGTGTTACAAAAGAGCAGCAAACACACTAAAAGGAGTAGGAGAGATAAGGAACTACAGATGTTTGACAGGATAGGAGCAAACCACACCAGAACACCCGCTAACAACCCACTAACATACCTTGTTTCAAAAGCAGACCACTAGATCCCAAGAGTGAACACAAGGCAGACTAATTTAGTTTTAGTAAGTGTTTTACGGCACTTGCAACACAATAAGGTCATATAAGTGCCGAAGATTAGAGGTGTTACAAGAGAGTAACAAACACAAAAAAGAAGGAGGGGAGATAAAGACGATAGATGTTTGGTAGGAAAAAAAAGAAGCAAACCACACCAGTGCACCAGTCAACTACCCACAGAACATAAGGCAGAGAGGAATAACACTCCATAAAAGACAAGAAACATACATAAAGCTTGGACAAACTTGTTTTATGTTTTAGTAGACGTTTTACGGCGCTCGCAACTGCATAAGGTCATATGAGCGCCAGAAGAATAGAGGTGTTACAAGACAGTAACAAAAATAAAAAAGAAGGAGGGGAGAAAAGGACGACAGATGTTTGATAGGAAAGAAGAAGCAAACCACATCAGAGCACCCGCCAACAACCCACTGGGACAGACTACTCCCAGAAGTTGGTCAAGAATCTACAGGTTCAAAACAAAGGTCTGCAACAAATGGACATCTTCTACGTACCTGATCTTTGTTATTGATATGGGCATACGGCAAAGAGCCAGTCATCAACTCAAACATCACTATACCAAAGGCATACACATCTGACTGGAATGTGTAGGGATTTTGCTCTTTCATTCTGATGACTTCTGGTGCCTGTGGATGGAACATGGAGAGAAAGACACTGTAACACTTCTTTCAGTTTAGTTTTAGTAAGAGTTTTACGGCACTTGCAACACAATAAGGTTATATAAGTGCTGAAGATTAGAGGTGTTACAAGAGAGTAACAAGCACAAAAAAGAAGGAGGAGAGATAAAGACGATACATGTTTGATAGAAAAGAAGGAGCAAACCACACGAGAGCACCCGCCAACCACCCACAACAAGTGTACAGTACTGCCATATATATATATATATATATATATATATATATATCCCACACAGCAGTTGTGACCACTGTGCTGGGTTTTAAAAAATGATACCATTTCACTGTATGAACTTTAAAAGTCCTCTAAAGAGTGTGTAATACACAGAACCTGAACAACCTTTTCTATTTTGTTTTTAATCACGGTCATCAATGCTTCTGACTGGGGGGGGGGGGGGGGGGGGGGGGGTAACTCTACAGATTTACAAGATTAAAACTTGTGTAGCACTGTTGACCAGTACATAGACACAACATTCATCTCATTTCAACTATTCACTCGAAAACACACTGACCTGGTTAAATGTATCAATATGAAGGGGGAAAAATTTTTGGTACGCCAAAAAAGTGGACTGTTGTTATAAACTAATACTGAATTTCATTTGAAAAAGTTAAAAGGCATTAAAACCTTTTAACTCTTTAAACCTTCAGTTTTTTGTACCTCTTCCTGGAGCTTTTTCTACAGTCACCTAAACCTGGTGCACTATCATAAGTCACTATGTCTCATTATAACCCTTAAAGTTTGCCTCCAACTTCTAAATGGCGGAAACAAATGCTTAGTCATTACTAAAAGACTTGGCTTGGGAATAGTTCCGAAAAACAAGCAAAAACTAGCTCCAAATAAAACGAAAATGTGGTCCCTTGTATCGGACGCTCCCAGCGTTCGATGGGGTTTAAAGAGTTAAGCCATACACTTTTGTAGAGAAAATAGCCCCTTACACTGTTGGCTGTCATCAGTCCTCTCTGGATACATTACAACAATGACGACACAGCGCCTCGTGTAATTTACAGCAAAAGATGTGTAACCTCTCTTCAAGATCTTCTTGAAAAGTTCCCCCCCCCCCCTCAAACCGATATCAAAATGACAGGAATCATTGAGATATTCTGCTCTTTTTTTCTTCTTCAGTGTTAGTAAAAGTTTTACGGCACTTGCAACACAATAAGGTCAAATAAGTGCAGAAGAATAGAAGTGTTACAAGAGAGTAACATACACAAAAAAGGAGGAGGATAGAAAAGGACGATAGACGTTTGATGGGAAAGAAGGAGCAAACCACACCAGAGCATCCGCCAACCACCCACCTAACTCTCAGCATGATGACTCCAGAGAATTTAAGCAACAAAAAAATATTAGAACAAAAAAAAAAGCAAAAAAAAAGAAAAAGAGTACAAAACAAAGCGACTTTTCTCACCATCCACAATATTGAGCCAGAAGGCTGTTGGAACATGTGGGAACCACTCCAGCGGGTCTTCACAGTAGCCAGGCCGAAGTCTCCAATCTTCACTGTCATATTTTCTGTGCACACCTCAGTCAAAAAGATATCTACGCCAAAGTTAAGGAAATACACTTTTCTTTTTCAAAAGCTATCATCATCCAGTTTTAGTTTTAATAAGAGTTTCACAGTACTTGCAACACAATAAGGTCATAAATAAGTGCTGAAGATTAGAGGTGTTACAAGAGAGTAACAAACACAAAAAAAGGAGGGGAGATAAAGACCATAGACGTTTGATAAGAAAGAAGAAGCAAAACCACACCAAAGCACACGCCAACCACAAACAATCATCTGAGTCTGCTATTAAAACTGTGTCATCGGTATGCCTGATGTTATTAATACTTTCGCCATTCACTTTGAGACCGTATCTAACCATTAAAAAAAAGATACATAAGTTTATATCTTATAAAAAGAAAAACAAAAAGGAATGGCGTTGAGTAACAATAAGACCAACAAAACAAGAACTTGACAACAACCTCTTCAAAATACATAACACTGACAGAAGAGATAAAAAACAAAGAGCATCAAGACAAATGACACACACATTATTCAGTCTTTTCACCTAAAAAAACCCAAAACTGTGGAGCTAAATGAACAAGACAAAAAAGGATACTGTTTGATTTTAAATCTCTGTGGATGATGGACTTGGCATGGAGATAGCTGCGGGGAAAATGAAAGAGTATAGATAAGTACACATTGTGTCACTGCTTTCACAAAGCAGTCACTTCACTAAAAACCTTCAGCACTCTTTAAAACACATTCGACACCCAAAAAGGTCTCACACATCAGGATGAGTGTGAGTGCAAATATTATTAATGATATCAAAATGACAAAGAGAAATGCGTAAGTTGAAAAGCACACTTAAAAAATGTGAACATACAGGATAAATAATGGGCAATGAGACAGAAGATCACTTGCCCAACAGAGGTGCTATAATCATGAAAGTACAATGAAACATACTGTATGGTCAGTGTTTCTTTTCCTTGTAATTTTTTTTACACATCCTGCATGTGATGATGGAAATGTATTCAATTACAACAACTATCACAGCAAAAGAACAAACTTGTCCTGAAAATGGAAATTAAATCATTTATTTTTTCAATAGAAACTTAAAAGCAAATAAAGTAAAATATTCAACTGCCATATAAACTATAACGCAACACTCTGCAGTCACACAGCCAGCAGTACAAAATATCCCCCCTGGTCACCCAGCCAGGAGAGTGATTGCAGCAGACTTCTTGGGCCTGGCACAGAACTGCGCCAGGTGACCGAAACAAATAATTTCTACCACTGGTGCATTACTGCGTCAAGTGGCTGCCGCAAAGAGTTAAAGCCCTGCATTAATCGTCCTTTTAGAGCCGGATCCGCGAATCATGATTTTATAGCGAAATTTTTTTTTTTCACCAGTCGAAAGCGTGTATCATGTGGTTCATTTCTGTATAAGTTTCATTGAGTTCCGCGCCTTAAAATCGCTATAAAAAGCTAATAACTATTTCACTTTGCTTCCAAATTAAGCTCATCTTGAGATGTGCGGAATGGATTTCAATATTGTTACAACTTGGATGACGCAACAAGAATAACAATGGACCGGACAGTAAAGCCAAGAATTCCTAAATCATGTATCATATGATACGCTTTTAGGGCGTGATCATTGTTACATACCTACATTAAACAGTTTTTTGTTCCTGAAAAATTCACAAAAACCTTGATATATGGAACTGGCTCTTCTTAGGACGATTTGAGTAATGCTTTTTGAGCTTTGTCTGCAATGTTCTAGTGCTGTGAATACTGCGCATGTATGTATGTCTGGTTGGGTGAAGAGTACTCACTCCATGCCCTGAGCGGTTTGCTTGGCGATCATGGTGAGCTGGTCCACGCGAAACTTGGTCTCCTGCACGTGCAGATGCTTGTAGAGACTGTGCCCGTCACACCACTGGGTCACAATGGCCAGGTGGGGTTTGGACACCAGGCCCATGAACAGGAGAATGTTCAGGTGCCGAGTTTTTCTGAAAGTACACAAAACAACGCAGTTGTAAAAAAAATATAGTCTTAGTTTTGGTAAGAGTTTTACGGCACTCACAACACAATAAGGTCATATAAGTGCCAAAGATTAGAGGTGTTACTAGAGAGTAACAAACACAAAAAAGAAGGAGGGGAGATAGAGACGATAGACTTTTTTTAATAGCAAAGAAGGAACAAACCACACCAGAACACCAGCTAACCACCCACTTAAAAAATCTAAAGTAGCCAAAACCTCCCCAGTGTATACACAATGCTTATTTTCAAAGCAGAGCATTTGGCCCAGTAGAACAGAAAAAGGAGGAGACGAGAAGATCAGACAAAATAAGGACACCTTGGAAACATCACACTAGTACATTATTCAACACATAACAAGGCAGATTTTGAGAACATGTATCTTTTGTATCATTTTCGCAAGGTCCTCGTCTTCTTCAAAGTCATTGTTATCTCACACATTGCATAACAAATTAAAGGACACTTGTTTGTTTTAAAAAAATCATATACAACTTCCGGTGATTTGTTGCAGAACTGGGTCATGAAAATTGATGACGTAACGCCCTGATCTGCTCCTGAAAACATTTTTTTATTTCTATACCATTGTGACGATCTGAATAAATTAGAAATGTAAGCTGGGAAAATTACCACAGGTTGACGATTGACATGTGGATAACACTTTGCCGTCACATCTCGCGGATCGGCGATGTTTACCACCCAGTTTCTTTGGATTTTCCCCAAAATGCCTTTGCCTTAGATGGCAAAAAGTTTTTACTATATGAGCCTTGTGATGGCAAAGTGTTAAAGGCATATTACTCAACGTAAAAATGATTGATGAAAGTGTTAAACTTCTAAATTTGTCAATCTCTATCGGAGCAGTCATACTTCAAAAGGAACATGCAAAAGGCCTTTACTGTTTGGACAAATCAGAACAGTAAGGTAGGGCAGTCCTGTGTTTGGGATAATAATTGAAGACTACAGGGGAAAAACGACGGTAGTCACAAACTGGAAATTGTGAGGGTGCAAATTTTAAAAAGCTTGTGGACTCATAACTTCGTATTTGTTTGACTTGTTTATTGTAAAGTTTTGAAGAATGGGAAATCTAACAACAATAATCACTACCGTTGTTTTTACCCTGTAGTCTTCAATTGTAAAAAAAAATTAATCAATATGCAACAGTTCTTTATTTTCAATTTTGTAAGGTACGAGGACTTTTCATGTTAAAAGTTCAAATTTTTAAATGGTGCACTCTATCCAGTAGGCCTACAAGAAACTAAATTTCACACAAATCTTTTTTTCCCGTTAATGCGCTAAAACTAGGATCCGATGCCAATGTACTATTATCATTTTCGTTGCCATTTTGTTCTCAGCTGAGCCCACATTTGACTGATGAAACCAAAAGAATGTTTACCTGAGTACTCCAACTTCATTCTTGAAGGCTTGCATCTGAGCATCCGTGGGATCAGTCACGTTCAATTTCTTCACAGCGACAGGTCCATGCCAGTGAGCTTTGAACACAGTTCCAAAAGACCCTGAACCAATTTGTCTGTCGTACATGATTTCTGAGTTGGGAATTTCCCAATCTTCATTTGAATCTCGGCGAGCTCTCTGTGGACATTTAAAAAGTCAACCCTTTAGTGTTTTCTCATAATTTGCTTCACATTTAGAAAATCATCCAATAAACTTAAATCATAAAATAAGCCTACAGTTTGAAGTAGTCGACTTATCTCTTAACACATTAACCCTATCCGAACGTCATGTTTTACTATCGTATCCATACGACGTGGGGAACTCTGTGCCATCACTTTCCAAAGAGGAAATTTCATTAATCCGATATGTACGCTTTGCATAGCAGTCTGTCAAAATGATTTTTTAAGGATATACTTAAAGTTTCAAAGAGATCTTCACACTAGAAGTATTCTAAAAAGTGAAGAATACAACCCCGGGGGTACAACATGACCCCAGGCGTACGGATAGGGTTAAACAACGCCAGCCAGCGTGACAAAATGAGTCATTTTCTACTTTCATAAAGTGGTAGGAAATAACAAAAGTATGCAAAGCTAAAGAGAAAAACAAAACGAAACAAAAACAACCACCACCACCCCCCCCCCCCCAAAAAAAAACCAAACAACAAACAACAAACAAAAAGCAACTAAATGTTCAGGGGAAAAGTATACCGCTTGCACTTACAGATCTCTTTGCAGGATCTGTGTCCACAGACTTCGCTCTAGGTCGGACTTTAGTAGCACTTGTGGGGGATGACTGAGCACTTTTTGTTGGACTTCCACTGGGACTTTGGGAGGGAAGGGTGAGGGTGTGGCATTGTTGACCTGGAGAAAAAATTTTTAATTAAAAAAAATAAATAAATAAAAAAACATATATATACACACACACACACACATGTTCTCACATTAAATTTTCAACAAGATTTTATGCAGAGATTGGTGGTACGCAATGGAAAAGAGATATCACGCCTGTCTTTCAACAGATGGTGACTTCAGTATAATGTAAACACATTACCCCAAAATGAGCAGTGTACTAAAAAATAACATACAGTAAAAAACAATATTCATGCCTCGAGGACAACAGGCTACACACTTTACATAAACCTTAAAATAGGATTCTCCCAGTATTTTCCCTAAACTAATGGAAACAAGTAGCACACTCATGTGTTTGTACTTTGAAGTATGTACGCATGCACTGTGGCGAGAATTCAATTTTTTTAAAACATAAATCAGAGATGTATACTAAAATATTTTTTGGAGTTTAGGCAGCTGTTAATCTGTAATTTTGTTTCTGCCGTCAAGCATGAGAATGGCTATGACACACTAGTATTGTTCATTCATGGCACATTGCCAAATGAGGAGAAAACCTGTGCACTACAGAATTAATGACCCCAACTTGTGGTTTTACTTTACAAGTTCACCAATCTATATTAAGAATTCTGTGCGCAGAAAAAAATATTTAATTTAGTAGCATTTAAAAACCTGTAGTCTATTCTCTTAAACTTTTAATTTTAATTTTATTTGACAAATTGTGACTTCTTGCAAGGAAAAATAAGAATATACCGTACACGTAACTTCAGGATTTTATGCGCTCGATACAACAGATACCTGCAGCTCTAATAGTTTTGAAGTACTAAACATGTGTGAAAATTTAGCCCCCCCCCAAGAAAATGTGGCAAAAGATTTTAAATGAAAACGTTCATCTAAATGACTCACATGGGGAAAAAGAAATTTTTAAAAAATCGTCAGTCTGATATGTTCTATGAGAATTGGCCACTTGAAAATACTATTGCTTCATTGTGAAGTCTATGAGACTTCTTGTTTTATTTGACGAGTTCTATCCAATTATTATGATGATGTCTTCATTTCATTTTCTTCATATTTGTCTTTATTCAAATTGAGCCTCATTCAATTTAAATTATTGAAATTGAGAGTTGAGACACTTTTGACAAAAAAGATAATCTACATTCTTGCATTAGAAAAGACACTACACATGACCTTCCAAAGTCCCCTCACAGAAAACAAATTTTGATATTCAACAAGAGCCAGGGCTAGAAATAAACTGAAAATAAACATTTAATTTGAAATTTCACTTTGAGCACACGAACTAACACACAATCCAGCTGTTCTACTCAAGTTGTAGAAAGCCAAAAACTTCAAGAACATGCTGCTCAAGAGTTACAGGAGACACTAAGCAGGAAATCACACAATCAGTATCAGTTAGTGGAGTACCATTTCAAGCACAAAAACAACATAAACTTCTTCATGTCAAGATTTGGACAGAGGGAACCCCATGCTAGCACCTCATGCTTTGCGTATCAGCGTGGCACCGCCCTCACTGACAACTTGAATGCCACAACAAACACCCCCCTCCCCCACCTTTATCAGCAACATAGCGCTTCCTTGTGGACCTGGTTAACCCGTTCACTGCCCAGCCCGAGACTGTCTCG